CCATCATTTAATAGATTATAGATGTTAAATTTGTTAAGTTTCATTTCAATCGTCATCTAAAAACGATATTCATAATTAAGATATAAGTAAAAAAAATAAAGTGATAATATTACGTTTGAAAATAAAGAGAGCTATAGAATTAATTAAAAAAAGTAATCCTTTAATATTTATTTTAAAGACCGCGCGAAGCGCGGCCAAATTCCCTAGTTTCCTGATAATTTTAAATCCTAATTCATCCACCTTACTATTACTATGATAAAATTATAAATTTAATATGTCAATAATTATTTTGTTAATAAGTCTATCATTTAAAAGTAAACAATTAATTAAGAACAAAAAACGAATTTGTCACCATACGAGCATATACCCTGGACGTGATCGGCATTCAACAATCATTGTTGGTCCACAAGCGAACCATCATCCTGGCTAACTACTAGTGTAACACTAAATTAAGCATACAAAACTTAAAACTGAATAAAAATTCATGAAACTGAATATAAAACTTTAACTCAAATGAAAAACTCCGAATAAAATAATATATTCAACTCATCATAAAATAGACAACTTAAGTCTTTAAAACTTTGATAAAATAAATTATACATACTTCTCAATCATACTGACTATCTATGAAGACTCTAAATAAGAAAGATGAAAGTCGAGACAAGACCCACGACATCCTAACTAAACTGAAAAATAAATGAAATTCTTCGAAAGTAAGAAGGCTACCATAGCTAACTTGAACTCTAGGATGTATCAACGAAACTCTTGTTGATAATCCTGAATATTTGTAACTTATGCAAGTCAAATGGCTCAATACGTGAAATGTACGAGCATGTAAGGGAAGTTCTAAAGTATAAACATAAGCTTGAACTTGATAAAAAAAAACATACTTACCTTTTCTCAACTCAATATTAGATACTCAACTCAAAGATATGATACTCGACTCTTGATACTCAACTCTAGTTACTCAATTCAATATAGAGAAACAATACATCTGCAATATAATGGACGGTTTTAGAATAGTGAAGAACAACTTAATTTTATAAAAAAAAACGCAACAACAAACTCAACTTTGCTCATATAATAAAGAAATATAATTTCTGTAGGAGATTCTCTAATCGACAACCACCACTATGAGCCTAAGTGATGATACAACGTTTTAACTCACGCTGCCAAGAATCTCTCTATACCTTGTCGGGGGTATAGAACCTAACTCACACAGTGTATCCACCAGCCTACGTTAAAAGGTACTAAGGAATAATCTAAAAAGTATGACCCTTTTCTACCCATGATGGTTACATGATTTATGGAGACTTGAATTAATATGAACTCACATTCCCATATTGGTGCTCAATACTACTACCTAAATAACAAACTCAAATTTGCTCATATAATAAAGAAATATAATTTCTGCAGGATATTCTCTAACCAACAACCACCACTATGAGGCTAAGTGATGATACAACATTTTATCTCACGTTGCCACGAACCGTCCTATACATTGTTGGGGGTATAGAACCTAACTCACTAAGTGGATCAATTAGTCTACGCTAAAAGGCACTAAGGAATAATCTAAAAAAGTATGACCCTTTTCTATCCACAGTGCTTACATGATTTATGGAGACTTGAGTTAATATGAACTCACATCCCCATATTGGTGCTCAATACTACTCCCAAAATATACTTAGCTCGTGTGTTTG